GGAAAAAAAGAGAGAAAACCTCATTCTACATCTTTGTTGCTCCTGTTGCTATGTACTTGTTGACTCAAATATTTGTTCTTGAACAGTGCTGTGATTTTCTGTTTTTTTCACAAAGAACAATGATGGTGAAAGTCTGTTATTTTTTCATAGATGTGTAATTAGTGGAAGATGACTATTAACAGTAATTATAATCCAGAAGCCTGCATATTCTAATCAGTTTTTAGTCTTGAAGCAGGGTACATTCCTTGTTATTCACGTTTGACATTTCTTACTCAGCAGAACAAAACACAGAATTGGATTACAAAAGGACTTTTGAAAGTTTTCCATTGTAGCATACACTTTCACGGAAACCTTTTTTTGAATTTATCATACTCTCCTTAAGCTTTTTTTCTTACCTGCTTCTGAAACATTCTTATCTGAAATAGGTCTTTTCTGAAGGTATTTTACAATATTCCAGTGCTTAACCTTGCTCTTTCATATGCAGAAGACAAACTTCTTTAACTTCTAAGGTCTCTTGCCGCCTGCAATATTTCCAGAAATAGGTCACACTTATCTATCGTCTTCATGCTACATAGACACAAGGATAAAAATCAAATGAGGACCCTGAATAATCATACTTATAAATTATTTTCTTACAGACAGGGCACTGACTGTTATCACCTATACGGAAGAACAGTTACCTGAGACTAATTTGGGAAAGGAATTGTATTAATAAAGTACTTGCTCACTTCTGACACTAATTAAAAATCTACCTGGCCTGACCTCTGTGTTTGAAATACGTCTTAATTTATCTCAGAAATCATTAAGTCTCAGAAACTAAGCTATCTGCATCTATGTGGAACTTCAAGTACTTTGTTTTTTTTCAGAACAAAATCTAAACATCCTCTATCAATTATATGTATAATTAATTTCACACTCTTCAAAAAGCACCACTGATTTCAATGAGCTTCTCTAATGAAACTAAAACATATCCAACAAGTTTTTTCATGTTGTTGCACTGGTTTTAGTTATTTTTTCTTGAGCAGTATGTTAAATTAATTCAAATATATGGTGTGGATAGAATTCAAAACCAAGAATCCAAAGCACTGAAATATTGTTCCTGTTTTCTCTGTCCTTAAACTCAAACTGGTTGGCTTGAAGGATTTCAGGTTGGTCCCATGCTGACAGAGAACATTTGATAATGGCCATTGACATCGGTTTTCACCCTTCTGACTTCCACCATTATTCTTAAGTCACTCTCACGCATGAATTAAAATACAACCAGTGTTCTCATTTCCCTCAACCTGAAGTGTACTACCCTAATTTCTTTCCAGATTACCACAGAGCAGCCTATCGCAGCTGCTGAAGGAAGCCGAGGGACTAGGTCAGGAAGCACCCTCGTGCTCCTTTGGAAACGCATTCGGCTCTAGAAGTTCGTTCATCCGGCTGACAGATGTAGATCACAAGGGCGAGTATTAAGGATGGAAAACCATAAACAGAAGTTATATGCAAAGGAAAGGTGACGTGGAAAAACCATTTTCAAAACCCCAGTTATACCAAAGCAGTCACTAGAGAAAGTGGTTACTTACCAGAGCAACTGTAGTTCTCTGATGCACGTTATCCACGGAGATCTCAGTCTCATTACTCTTCTTCAGGTTTCTGCTCGCCTGAAGAGTCAGCGTTCTTGAGTGCCATCGCTTACACTGTATAATAACCCCCTATTACATACAGCCTAAGTTCAGTTTCCCACAGCACTGGCACATCTTGCTTTAGTGTGGTGTCCTCTAAGAGATGAATGCAATCATTTATATAAAATTTTAACATATTTGAGCAGATCAGGACACAGACTGAAAGCTTCTCTGTCCCTGTAAAGACCACTCTATTCATTTAAGGTCTGACTATCCCTTAGCTTTCAAGCTCCCAGGGCATCACATGAAACGCTGCTTTACCGTAGGCTGCTGGCAGGTTGCTAGGATACCAATATACCTTGCTAATATCATAGCAACACCCACGGAGTGACTTAACCTTTCAACAAAGTTTGCCTGTGAAAAGCACTGCAAAGATTGGTTCTGGACGAGAGCAATGCTCAGACGGACCCTGACGTAACCAACGCGACCCTCAGCATGTTCAGCTCAGCCTGAACTAAGGTGATGCCAAGACAGCTCCTGGGGTAGGGGCAAGTCACTCAAATTGAAGTCTTTCCATTGCAATCACGCCTGCTTCAAAGACTGTTCTGAACTTCAGCTAAACACTTGTGGTGAATACATCTGGTGTCTTGAAACAATAAATTGGGCGTAGCCTAGGATTTTATTTATTTTAGAGACTGAGAGACAGAAGACATGACTTGGAGGTCACCTAACAGAAACACCGATTCCAAACTACCTCAATCCTATGATCCACTGAAGAATATTGCAATAAACAACAGGATCACACAAAATAAGGATACACCTAAGTACAGTTGGTCTTTCCACGGTTTTAATGAAGCCAGAACTACTTCTGGGATTGTGACCCACAGAGGTACTTCAATACACCCAACAGTTTCACTCACCTACCTTGAAGTTCATCACCCTTGAAAGAACTTGATCATCACTCAGGTACACTGAGACTGCAGCTTGCATAACTTTAAACACGCAGGTGGCCCAGCACAAACACATGCCACCACTTGCAGGAAAACATCACCTGTCAGCTGTTCCTCATGACTAATTTCAACTCTTCCATGTTTCAGAGGGAGCTAGTCCATAAACTTGAGAGAATCTTCTGGTCACCAAATTCTACTTTGCTAGGAGCACTTGGTAATAAGCTGCCTGCATCTGACAGTTCACTAACAAACGTTACGTCATTTTGGTGAGTTTTATGTCAGGACATTCAATTAGGAAGTTCTTGCTATTCCTAATTCTTCAGAAGAACCTGGCACAAGGTATGAAATTCTTGGAAGGCAGTTGCTACTTTCCAACCATGACTATTAGATCCTGATCCCTGGTACAAAACCTAGATAGTTTTGAAGTACTGATCACTTTTAGACAGAGCAAGCACACCGAGTCCAGTATGCAACGCCCCATGGTTAGCATTCCTAATTTTCCAGCCCCTCTAAGATCATTCTGAGGGCCTCTACATTCACAAATTGTCAGAATGTCTTCAGTCAGCTAGAGAGAATGTGTGACATGATAGCGATTCATCAAGAGATGATGAAAGAACTGCAACTTTACACATAGCTTCCTAATATGCAACTATCTGCTCATCTGTTGACACTTAGGGCTATAACAGATTCATCCACTGAAATTTATGCTGTTTGGGAGAAGGAATCCACCCTTCCAGCAGAGCAGTCACTAAGCTATTCCAAAATGGAATTTTCATACTTTATGATACTCAGCACAGATTTACCCAGATTAACAGAACACAGATAACCACAAGCTGATCAGTATAGTTTATAAACTTTCCTACCAGAAATTATTAAAGCACCCAGGAACTGCACACCAGTCTACAGAATCCCTTTGGCCTCCATTTTGGATCTTACACACCAGGTCAACAGATAATCTTCAGCTGCCTAATCCAGAGATGTCAGAGACCTGCTGACTCACTCGCAGACTACATAAAGACCAGTCTGGTGACAAAGGATCTGCACAAGACAGTAACTAGAATGAGAAAGGAGCCCCTAGGTTTTGAATTAACAAAAAAAAGTGGCACTTCTGTAAACAAGAAGAAAATAAATCTAGTGATTGCCAATAATACTAATTAATAACCAGCCAATACATTTCAACACAAAAAGGCAGTCTTCTTGACAAGTTTTACCTCAGTTCCGCAGGGGCAGGTAAGCAGATCTGAGAGGAAGGAAAGGAAGAGAACCTATAGGAAGCTAGACAGGTATAGGAAGGAGACAGGTAAAGCCCAAATGGATAGATATTACTGGCCAGAAGATTCCTGCAAAGATTACTTGCAAAAATGGGAACTGAAAAACAGGGACTTGTATATTGTTTGATGAAACAGGAGCAAATATAGTGACTTCCACAAAAGGCCCTGGCAGACAGTAGTAATTTATATTAAGTATGCACTCCAAACTACTTTAGGAGGTCAAGAACCTCAACATCAAGGACCTGTATTTTCATCTTTCTCAGATGTTGCATTAGTCTTTCAAATTGTCACCAACCTTACTGATGTAATCAAGCTAGAATTACCCAGATGATAGAATATATAAATAGATACACATCTACTATTGAAAATTTTAATCCTCCAGATACTTAAAAATAACCAGTGCGCTGCTTTTAAGAAGCATGGGTAGATGTTGTAGGTATTCAGACCAGTAATATTTATTGTACCAATCAAAGAATAGATTCATATGAGAACTTACATTACCTTTGAGCTAGCTCAAGTACCAGTAGCAGTCTGGATACAGCAACACATAACAGCAAACTTTTCATGCTTCTGAAACATACCATTACAGAAGTATGTACAGAACCAATAAATATACACATGCACTAACAATTGGGAGGAAAAAAACCCCACAGCATAAGCTTGAGAACTGGGCTTAAGTTAGCTACAATAGAAAAGCATGCTTTAAGAACAAATACTGCTTCTGTTTGAAGCCGATAAATATGAAACAAAGCTACTGGGATTTTCATGTGTAAAGTTGATTTGGTGGTTAGCACTTCAGGGAAAAAAAAAAGTTTAGAAGTTTCAGCAGAAAGAAGCAAATACAAGTCTCTATACTGGTGTAATGTTCTTTACAACTTCTCAGCTCCTCAGCAGGACTGCATTACAACTGTTCTACCAAGAAATAACTAAATATACCTTCGGAAACTCCACTTTAACACTGGTGAGCAGTATCACATTCTCAATGGCTGTGGGTGTGTTTTGGTTTTGTGGGGTTTGTTTTGTTTTCTTCTTTTCAGCATACTGGGTTTGCTTGTTTGTTTTAGTGTGTGATGCAACTTCTCATTAAACTTTTGATTAAATATGTTTTAACCCATCAGTGATGTGTTAGGTAACTCCATTTCTGCTCTGAACAAAAGACAGGACAGCTTATATAGAGATAACATCCCCGAAGCAGCATTTTATTTTATTCATTTAATTCCAAAACATTTAATTTAGAAGTCTGGCATCTCAGTCATCCATCTTAACATGGGCTAATATTGACATAGCGTTGTCAGAATACACAGACAACTAAACAGCCAAAGAGTTTACAAAAAATAAATTCATGATTCTTCAAAACAACCGCAAAAGGTTACAAGTATCAAAACTCTTAGGTAGATGCACTGCATTAAAAGAAACTGTGCACATAAGTTAGAGGCAAAAAAACAAATTGCTACCGAAACCTCACATTTCAAACAGTTTATCGTAAACTGATGAACAGGGTTGTCATTTCACATCAGCTTAACTGTTTTCAGTGACTGAAAAAAATTTGGGGTGGCTGATTTACTTTGCATGCACAAATGTACTGCTTAACAGAACTCTCAGCTCATTTCAAATGGAAAAAAAAATTTAACTGGAATCTAATCATCTTCAATCACTTTCCATTATTCTTTACCATATTTTCCAATCAACAGGCAAACTAAAATTGCCTCATTTACTATGCATCTTTCTGCACTGTTCAAGTGCAAGGGCCAATAAACCAATCAATTCATCAATGCCCATAAAGATTCATCTGAGACTGCTTCTTGATAAAGTGGACAGCAGATCTGAACAGTTGTACAATACAGATATGCTTAGCACTAGATATTTAGTGTGACTGTGGCAAGGAAATATTGGTGATGATGGGGATGGTGAAGTGGATGAAAGAGGGATCGGAGGAAAGCTTTTTAATTATTGCCCTCTCCTGCTTCTTCATCTTGCTGGTCACTCGTCCACAGAGTGAGGTTATCTCGAAGCAACTGCATGATGAGAGTGGAGTCCTTGTAGGAATCCTCATTTAGTGTGTCCAGCTCTGCTATGGCATCATCAAAGGCTTGTTTGGCTAAAAGGCAGGCCTGCTCAGGAGCATTCTGGATCTCATAGTAGAACACTGAGAAATTGAGTGCCAGCCCAAGCCTAATTGGGTGAGTGGGCTGCATGTGCTCTTTGCTGATTTCAAAAGCCTCTTTATAGGCGGCTTCTGAGGCTTCCACAACACTGTTCTTCTTCTCCCCAGCAGCAACTTCTGCCAAATAGCGGTAGTAATCCCCTTTCATTTTCAGATAAAAGACCTTGCTCTCATACTGGAAGTCATTGCAGTTCTTGATCAAGTACTTATCTAGGAGAGCCAACACATCATTGCAGACTGTCTCCAGCTCCTTTTCTATCTTCTCCCTATAGGCTTTAACCTTCTCCAGCTTCTTCTCGTTCCCATCTGCCATAGTCTTCTGCTCTATGCTGCTGATGACACGCCAGGAAGATCGCCTAGCTCCAACTACATTCTTGTAGGCTACAGACAGCAGGTTTCTGTCCTCATTTGAGAGGGGCTCATTCAGCTCAGTTACCTGAAAATACAGACAAATAGCAAATTTAAACGGTTTGTCTTAGAGAAGAGCACACAAACTTCCTTCAACACTTCCATCATCAAGCACAAGATTCAAAATTCCTTCTAGATCCCAAAATTCCTTCTAGATCCCAAAACTCCTTCTAGACAGGAGTCAATTTGTAATGTTGAAAGTTTAAAACTGTTTTTGCAGTCAAGACTTAAGAGAGTGAAAATCCCACAGTTCTGTTGTAACAGAACCGGTATTTAGAAGCCATTGCAAAGCACGTTCACTGAATAAAAGTGAGTCAGGCTTGTGTAATGGAGAAGCATTCACAGAAGGAAAGCTTTGGGTTTTTAGCAAGTCTTTGCCGTAATTATGCAGACTACACCCTTAGTGATCAATTTAAATGTACGTAAAATACCAGTTTTATGACTCTGGAACATAGCACAAACACTGGGAACTGCTGCAGTTCTTGCATTTCTTTCCCCTGCTGCTTTGTTTCATTGGACAGCAGAGGGGGAAGCGCTCCATGATTAAACTCAGCATAGTACAAATGGAATTAGTGCTTCACAGTATCTTTCAGTCACTTAGTGAGCAATTACACAATGTAATACAAAAGTTATCCTGATTTCTGCTAATTGGTGGCTGCAGACAAATTTCAAGGATAGGACATGAAAGAAACAGCATAGAAATAGAACAGGAAATCAAGGAAAAAAGTCATGATCAACTTAAAATTCATACTACAAAAAAGCCAAGATAGAGGAAGGATAACACTTCTAATACTATATTTAGGCCTATTTCACTTGCTGTGTTAATTTAGGGAATAAAACCTATCAGACTCATAGTCACTTGAAGTTGTTCCACTTCTGCACTTCATAAACATGAAATTAAACTCACTGGAATTAGGATAAAAAATGTAACTCCACTACTTTAAGCACACTGCATTAACCGCATTAAAAGAAATCACTAGAATTCTAAGGATACGTACTTTGGTGTGAAAGTAAACTTGTCCTTCCTCAGACACTGCAAAAATCATTAACTGTTTCTTTTTAAATGTGCATATTTACACTGCTTGACAGGCATCAGAATATTTGTAACCAAATATTTACATAACTACAAATAATTAAGTCACAAATATTTATGCTATTGAGACTGCTGGTGTAACCAGTGAACCATCCAATAAATGCGCATCTTTCCAAGTCTACAAAACCAATTCATAAGAATAACTGTAACAGTAAGAGAGGTAACTTTCAAATTTAGGTTTTGTTCTTAAAATATTCCAAGTCAATTAATTTTATCTCCAAAAGGCCTTTCCCCCACAGCTCAGGAACCTGAACTCCCAAAAGACACTGCTCTGCCTGGCCTAATACAATTAGAGACAATCTACAGAGGGTGAAATGCACAGGAAAAACTCTACTGACATCTTCATAATCTTCTTCACAGCTTCCACTCAGCATCATCCCAACAATCCCTCTCTCAACGATCCCTGCTATTACCCACCTACATCCTCTTCTGTAGAAAAGACACTAACTTCCTCAAGATGTAAGGGCTCTGCTAAGAGTTTTTATTGCCTACAGACTATTAGGACAGCATTTGCTTTTACAAAAATAAAGAAACCCCTTGAAGAAGATGAATAACCAGATGATGATTTCTGCACGCTGGAGGACTGCTTGAAAGTTCACTACAAGTTCTCAAACACAGTGGTTGATCTAAAGGAGTCAGTAATGTTTTGCTAAAATTTAAACACCATTTAATCACACAAATAAATCCCTTTTTCCCCCCACCTGTCTTCATTATCTTTACAGCATTCAAAAGACAAATAGAAAAAAAAATCTTGGATCTGTTAATATACTATGGACCTATATTACCCACAAAAATAAAAACTGAGTATGGAGAAGTATACAAAACACAAAAATAACTGAGGATGAGACTTAGTGGGACAGGACAACAGTAACAGAAAATCCATCTCTTGGCTTTGCAGTCCAGACTCCATATGAAAGAAATTAAAGCTACAAGAAAATGGCAGCCACAGCTCTCTCAATTCTTCACCTGATAAATGATCAACTCCATTTTTCACCTCATCCTCCACTTACTATGTCTGTTCTTCACCCTCAGCTAACTGCTACCTTCACATTCATCCCTTTCCCTCTGCTTCAAACTAAATATCCTCATAAGTGCTGGTATTTATGTATTCAGTAACTAAAAAATGTATGCAGGCATCCTAAACCTTGTTATAATTATTTCTTCTACTTCACAGAATGGTAGGGGTTGGAAGGGACCTCTGTGGGTCATCTAGTCCAACCCTCCTGCCGAAGCAGGGTCACCTACAGCAGGCTGCACAGGACCTTGTCCAGGCAGGTCTTGAATATCTCCAGAGAAGGAGACTCCACAACCTCCCTGGGCAGCCTGTTCCAGTGCTCCGTCACCCTCAGAGAGAAGAAGTTCCTCCTCATGTTCAGACGGAACTTCCTGTGCCTCAGTTTGTGCCCATTACCCCTTGTCCTGTCACTGGGCACCACTGAAAAGAGCTTGGCCCCATCCTCCTGACACCCACCCTGCAGATATTTGTAGGCATTTATAAGGTCCCCTCGCAGCCTTCTCTTCCTCAGGCTGAACAAGCCCAGTTCCCTCAACCTCTCCTCGTAGGGGAGATGCTCCAGTCCCCTCACCATCCTCGTAGCCCTAAAGTCAAAAATTTGCAGTGCTGTATGCTCCTTGCATGCCCCTATGAGAGGGTGTGAGGCATAACCAGGACAGAAGTTTGGGCACCTCTATGCTGCTACATAAGAACTAGGAAGAAAAGATGACTGGTTGAACCTCATCAGGTTCCTCTCTGCCCAACTCTCCAGCCTGTCCAGGTCACGCTGAATGGCAGCACAGCCTGCCGGTGTATCTAACACACCTCCCAGTTTGGTGTCGTCAGCAAACTTGCTGAGGGTACGCTCTAACTCTCCATCCAGGTCATTGATGAAGAAGTTAAACAAGGCTGGGCCCAGTACTGACCCCTGAGGGACACCACTAGTTACCAGCCTCCAACTAGACTCAGCGCCGCTGATGACAACCCTCTGAGTTCTGCCATTCAGCCAGTTCTTCTGCTCTGCCAACTATGACCTTCAGGAATGTTTTCTAAACAACTAGTGACAATTTTTTTAAAATTACTGAACTGTAAGATTCTGGAGAAGAAAGCCGAAATAATGTTTGTCAACTACACATCCCTTTATCAAACATACTGCCTTTCCAAATGCAAGCCCTCACCATCAGATAGCAAAGCAATACTATTCTACAATAAAGCTCTACAACACTAGCATAAAATATAATTAGTCTCAAAAAAAGTCTGTGTGCTGAAGACCAATCACCTGAAGTTCAATTGAGAAAGGTTTCAAAGCAGCTTATTTTTCCTGTTCCTTCAAGTTTTTAACGTCTCCAGGTAGAAGAAAACTGGACATTCATATTTCATCTGTTTAAAAAATTACAAAAGAAGTGAGATTTTAGCACTGTATCAAAGGAATTAAATCTTGCAATACAAAAATAAATCTTCTGTTTTTCAAGCCATTTTCAATGGCGTGAAGCAAGTCATGTGTCAGCAGCCACCATAACAGATACAACATGTCATGGCCAGAAGACTACATAGAGCATTGCCACAAGACTCAGCCACAAAGTGAATTACTTCTTCAGATTCAATGCCCTGCCACTCCCGGGCACAATTTATAGCCCCTGGCAGATTCTGTTAATCTAGAAACTGATAACCACTTTCTAAGAAAGCAGCATCTGATGGGGAGCGCAGGAACTCGAGTAACAAACCACTAATTTCACACTAGTTATTCCCCTGTGGGAGAAGTTCCCGATGCTTGGAGAGAAGCTCATTCCTTTCTAGCATCACTTTTCAACATGCTTCAGGATGTCAGTGTTATTTCCCTCCCCATAACTGTTATTTCACTAGTCCTGAATTATTTCCTTCTCATTTTGAAACTGGTGATTTGAGAGGGAAATGGCACATTATCCCCCATCCTAGCTAAAAAGTGCTGATACTCTGTGGAGATGCGTCAAGATATCACATGTACCTCCCTGGTGTAACAGCTATATTACAAGAAAGCAGACTCAAAGGAAAGCATGTGACCCATATGGAGCTATCTACTGATTTATCTATTTCCAATATATTAGCACAGTAGATAAAAACAGACATGTTTCTCTTCACATGAGAGATTCACGTAGAGAAAAAGGTAACTTGAAATGCTGAACTTCCATTCTACCTATAGCCTTTCCTTAACAGAAAAGATCTCTGACTGCAATAATTTACATTTTAGATGTAGACACGCTTTCTTTTAACGGCTGTTAGGAAAAACAGAAACACTTAAAAGATAAAAAGCCATTTGTAGTATGACTTCAAAGTAATATTCACTTACTCGGGTGCTGCTCCATACTTGCCTTATGCACCCCTCTCTCTCACACAAGTTTGGGATTATTTTCAGTCCTGAGGCAGATGATGCAATTGAACACCCAGGCTATGATCTCCTAGCAGTTTTCATTCAGACTGTCTGCTTTTTGTGACAGGTATATAGTCTAGATAATGTATTTATATAATACTTACAGGTGTCTCCTCCTCTGCTTTACGCCCATAAAGTTATTTCAGAGTTTACTGGGAAAAAAATGGGAGTATATACAAGGGATCCTGACTATAATCCTGGAATTCCTAAATACACATGCTGATGAGCATGGCAGTACTGTAGCTCAGAAATTACTCACATGTGTGTGATCCCACACAGGCCATACCAAGCTGAGACTACTCTTTATGGAAAATACCAAAGTGAAGGTTCCACAACTGACAGCAGATGCACTGGTGGATTACCTAGTAGAATTTGACCCAGGTCAACTGAATTTATGTGATTATACTTCTGTTTTGTTAGCCAGAGCATAGAAGTCACAGCTAGAGCCAGTTCTCAGCAAGCTGCTGCAAAAATGACTGTACCTGAGCCAATATAAAGTCAGGTTTAATTATTAAAATTCTCCTGATGCAAAGTTATAGAGACCATAATTTTTGAACAAACAGAAACCAGACTAACGAATTTAAACCAGATCAGTTTCTTGCATCATGTGGCAT